CTGCTGGGGGCAGAGCGCTCCCTTTGCAGCCCCTCCCTGCCTGGCCGCGCCCCGCTGCTCCCGCTCTCCGGGCTGCGGAGTCCAGAGACCCGTCTGCAGCGAAGCCCTTCCTCGAGCGCCGGGCTGGGCCGCAATGCCCCGCTCCCCCGGCCCGCTCGCAGTTGGGGTGCGGAGTTAGGGAGGGGGTGGGGGGGTGTCTTCTGCTGGGGGCAGAGCGCTCCCTTTGCAGCCCCTCCCTGCCTGGCCGCGCCCCGCTGCTCCCGCTCTCCGGGCTGCGGAGTCCAGAGACCCGTCTGCAGCGAAGCCCTTCCTCGAGCGCCGGGCTGGGCCGCAATGCCCCGCTCCCCCGGCCCGCTCGCAGTTGGGGTGCGGAGTTAGGGAGGGGGTGGGGGGGTGTCTTTCAGCTCCATTTATGTCCCTTTATTTTGGGATCCTGTTGTGCTCCAGCCCAGAGCTAACCGGGGCGGGGCCTGCACGATGTAAGGACCCAGTTTAAACGCAGTTCCCAGCTCTGGAAACCTTCCCATGCGCCAGACCCCAGCCTGCTCCTCTGACTTCCCTGTTGGCTGTAGGATCAGGGCTGGACCTTGGTCCCCAGTTTCCTTACCCAGCTGGCTCTTACAGCAGAGCTCAGTCCTGTGGGCAGATGTGCACGGGGAACTCTGGCGCCAGAACAGAAGTCTGGGCTTGTGTGGACTGGGAAAATGAGTGGCCTTTTTTCCTTGAATGGTTCCTTAGGCCAGATGCTATCTATTTATGCCAGGGGTTGGCAATAATTTTCACAGGGGGACCATTTAATTAATGTTGGTTCATGGTCACAGGTTGGCTCCACCCCTTGACAGGAGCAGGGGATTAGCCTCTCTCCAGAGTTGTCTAGGGCAATAAGCTTTGAATTAAAAACACAGGAAGGGGCTCAAGGCTCCCACCATGTCACCTGGCAGCTTCCTGGGGCTGCTGCAGCTGTTTAAAGGGCTCATGGCTCCAGCCCCTGCCAGGGTAGTGCCAAGATGGGGAGCTGTGAGCCATTTAAATAGGATACTGATGCCTGAGTCACCACCTGGAAATTCAGTGGCATTGGCAGCAGGATATAAACAGAAAGCGGACAGATGCATTCAGGGGGTCCGATCAAAGTGCTAGGCAGGCAGAATCTTGCCCAGCCCTGATTTATACCAAGTAATCTGCTCCACCTTCTGGTTAGCTGTGACCTGCTGAGTACCGGTACCTTTCCCAGAGGTGAAGGAGAGCCCACTGCAGCTGGATAGCTTGTGTGTCTCACTAACAGAAGTCGAGCGGATAGAAGATATTACCTCACCCTCAACGTCTCTAGCATGAAACATGCTTTGGAAAGCCCCTTTTTATGCCTACCCTAGACAAGCAGGGGCTGCCTCTAGGTCAGTGGTCCCCAACTTTTGGGGCTGCCGGGTACCATGGGGCAGGACCACTCACGCACCAGGTGCTTAGGCTCGGGGCTGCGCACGTGCCCGGGGGCAGGGCCACCCATATGCTGCGTGCCCAGTGCTGGTGCCACTCATGCGCTGCACTCCCGGGGGTGTAAAAAGGTTGGCGACCACTGAGTTAGCCCCTTAATCACCAGGTGCTGGTCAGCACTCCTGATTATAACAAGAGGCTTGGGCCAGGATTACTCAGTCAGTCTTCGGTGGTTTGGGGCACAGAGGTTATGGCTCTGAGCCCCCTCTCCTAAATTAGATTGTGCTGACTGCTTCTGATTTATGTGCTGACAAGTCTGTTCTAGGGATGTTAACAAACATTTATTTCTGTAAACATGTAATCACTGAAATTTTCAGCGGTTATATGTTTATGTGCAGGGGAGCAGGCAGGAGCAGAAGCATCAGACCGGGGGCGGGGCAGGCAGCTCTGCAGGAGCCAGTACACAAGTGGAGCTTGGTGACTCCCCACACTTTGACACCATATAACCCCAACAAAGTAGGTTTTGTAGACATTTTAAACCATCAAGATGAATGGATGGAGGGAAAACCTGTATTTTGCTAGAGATAGTGATTTGGATGGCAGAGTGAATGCAGCCAGAGTGCATGTTGAAGGCTTTCTGCAATTAACTCCTCTGGAAACCTGTTTTCATTGGACAGGAAAACTCCATCCAGAACCACACACAGACTGGATTTTGTATTATGCCTACAGCGATCTTGATGCCTGTTCTTATTGTCTGGGAAAGACAACATTAATTATAGTATGCAGGGGGAGAGGGGTGTAAACTATGGCAGAAAAGGAGCTGATTGTGGGGTTTTTGGCTTGGAAGTGTTTGTGTAGAAGGGGATAGAGATGGAGAAGCATTTCCCTTTTGGAGAGAATAAGCCTGAAAATTGCAGGTACTACTTTCTGAAAATATGACAGCACTAATTCACTTTTGCTTGTGTTCTCAGGGCTCTTTAACCATGGCATCTCAAGATGTGGAAACATCTTTTTTCAGCTTAAGTGGTGTTAGAGAACGGATGAGGGCGAAGAAGAATGGTGCTTTAAAGACTGCAAAGCTGAATGCTTCCCTTGCATCAAAAATAAAAACGAAAATAATAAGTGAGTGTTGTTTGGCTTTGTATTATGATAGCATGTAGGGGCCCATATCAAGATCAGGTAGTGCTGTATATGCATGTATTAAAAGAGATTCCTTGCCTCAAGAAATTATAGTCTAAATCTGGAAGAAAGAATTACTCCCATTTTATAGTTGGGGAGACTGCAGCACTGAGACTTGCCCAAGGACTTGCCCAAGGAATTCTGTCGCATGCCTGGGAATTGAATTCTGATTTCCTGGTTCAGTGGGTTAAGTACAAGGCTACAAATTATAAAGAAGGCTACTCTGGATTTTAAAAATAGAAGGGTTTAGAGAGGAAGTGAAGGCATCTGTACAAAATAAAATTAAATAGAATTGAGGGAATGTTGATAGTAATGGATATAAATCAGAAGTTAGGAATTGTAGAAAAGTAAGGGATGCCAAGGGACACAAGGAGACCTTGATAGGCAAGAGAGACGAGGACATTATAGGGCTCTTTAAATATATGAGGAACAAAAAGAATGGTTTTGGTTCATTATTAGATGGAAATGGTAGTATTATCAATAATAATGCAGAAAAGGTATTCAAAAATATTTGTGTGTATTTGAGACCAAAAAATCCTTGATGCAGTCTTCTCATACTGTGATAACACTCCTTCCATTTCATTCCATTATTGTCTCTGGAGAAAGTTATTCAGACATTTTTAAATCAGCAGGTCCAAATAATTTTCATCCAAGAATTTTAAAAGAACTGGCTGAGAAGCTTGCTGAACCATTAATGTTTCTTTTCAGAACATCTCAGCGCATTGGATAAGTTCCAGAAGACTGGAAGAAAACTAATGTGCC